TAGATCTGCTATGTCTCCCAGTCTTGGTCAGGTGGCCTTATGTAGTACACGCCCTGTGAGTGCACAGTCTCCCTTGTCACCTGCACTGGGTGCTCCAGGAGTCTTCCTTGTGTGGGTTATGTGTGCCCTCTTGTTATAGTTGAGCCTTGATTGCTGTTGGCACATCAGTAGGTGAGATTGACCCTCAGGCTGACTGGCTGTGGGATTTGGCCACGTTCACAGCTTATGGGCTGCTCTGAGTGGGGCTTATTGTATGGAGTGGGATTCGCCCCAGCGGGAGGTTTTGGGCTGGCCTTTTTCACATCTCCACCCCTCCTATCAGTCTCAATGTGTCTTCTTCTTTATATCCTTAGTTATAAATTTTTTTTTAAAAGATTTTTATTGGTGAATTGGGGGAGGGGAACAGCGCTGGGGAATCGGGGGAAGGGGAACTGACAAGTTGTTGTTGTTTTGTTCTTCAGTCTAGTTGTGGAAGACATTGCTTCACTGGCCCATGTTGGTATTATCATTGCACTCTTCCTGGGTGAGGCAGATCGGTCGCCGGTCACTGGACAGCCGCTCATGGCGGCTCTTGGCAGCTCACACCGGCTGTCGGCTGCTCACAGTAGCTTATGGGAGCCCACTGCAGCTCCACTGCAGCCTACGCCATTGCTGGCAACTCATGGCAGCCCAGCTCCAGGTCGAGCTGTTGTTCATCACCTTAGCTGTAGAGGGCAGTTTCACTGGCCCTAATGTGGGATCTGAACCGGGGTCCTGCTGCTCAGAGCTGGCGTCCCAAGCCAACTCCTAACCTACATGCCACTTGGCTGGCCTAAGGCCTCTATGGCTTTTACAGTTTAGTGTACAACACCCAAAATTGTATGGGATTTGGGTCCACATAAAGGATTCATGATTTTAGGAAATCGTTTAACAAAGAAAGCAAGGAAGTCTGGGGCATCAGGGAAGATTTCCCTGAGGAAGAGATTACACAGGCGTTTCCCTCATGAAGAGTATGGGAGAGTTGGAGGGGGGAAAACATCAAGTGCGAAGTCTTTACAGGGAGAAAAGAATGTGTTGCATTGGAGGAACTAAAAGAAGGTCTGCGGAATTAGAGCTCAGTAAACTAGGGCAAGAGTGGCCTAGCTTGTCAAGAGGCAGGAGAAATAGGAAGGGGTGAGATTATGCAGACCTTTATTAAAGATATTGGCAGAATATAAAATTGAAGAGTATGTGTGAATACTGGAAGACTATACAAGCTGTTGTGGCTGTTTAGAAGAGACGATGGTTGTTTGGACTAGAGTGGTGGCATTGGCGATAGAAATACGTAGATTTAAAGGATATTTAAGATTTAGAATGAACACAATTAGGAGATTGATAGATGTGAAATGTGTGACAGGGAGACAAGTCAAGGACTGACTCCTAGATTTTTGGCTAGAACTGGGGGTGGGGTGGGGGGGTGGAGGCAGTAGTGTCCCTTCCGGAGGTAGGGAATACTGTTACAGCAGGTTTGATGGGGGAAGATGATTTCAACTTTAGGATTTGTTGAGTTTGAGTTGCCTATGAAATAACCAAGGGGGGATGTCTAGTAGGCTGGTAAATGGATATACAGGTAAAAGTTTGGGAGAGTTCAGGAGACGAAGTGCAGGTCTTAAGCATACAAATCTATCGCTGGCCTGGGGAATGAGTGGGAGAGGCTAGGAAGCCTTTGCAGAATGAGAAGAGGGCTTTGGGGACAAAACTCTGAGACTCTACAGTAAGTGGAGAAGAAACTTGCAAATAGGAAAGAGTGGTCCGAGAAGTACTAGGAAAACTAGGTATCTCATCAGTTAGAGTGGTTCAAAAAGAAGGATTTAATGTTGCTAGGATGACTAGTAAAGTGATCTTATTGAGAATTTTTGTAGAGTAGTGAGAAAAGAATGTAGATTAAAGTGGGTTGAGAAGTGGGAGGTAGGGGAAGAATTGTGACACTTTAGAGCGGCTGTAAGGAGGAAAGCAAAAGGTCAATATCTAGAGGCTGACATGCGGTCCTGCTTTTATTTCTTGTAAAGATGGTGAGATGAAATACATCTATACACCCGAATGCTGACAAAAAGGAGCCAGTGGAGCGAAGAGGAGGATGATATATGTGAAGGAACTGTTGGCACAAGATCCCTGTGCACAGGTGACCTTAGCTATGAGGTCGCTGCAACAGGTGAGGAAGGTTCAAAGCTGGATACAGATACAGGCAGGTTTGTAGATCTGGTGTCAGGAAGCTTGAAGGAGTTCATGGTAGTTTCTCTCTTTTTGCTGAAGTCAGAAAATATGGAGGAGGCAAGGGCTTTGCAGATTGAAGAATGAAGACTGAGGGAGCAGCTGTGGAGTACTGGAGTGTAAGCTGTCTAGGGAAGCATAGCTGAGTGTGGAAAACCTTGTCCCGGGTTTTTGTCACGGGGAAAGGGTTTTCTTCCAAATACAGGTTGCTTCGTTTGGGTGCAGGAGGAAAAAGAGCCAGGAAGTAATTCTTCTCCCGCTTTTTAACTCAAACTGTAGGACCTAGGATTAATTTAGTCCAGAGTGATAACCACCAAGCTACTGACATTGAGGTTGGCTACCACTTCCTTTGACATGTTATTTTTTCCCTACATAAGAAAACTTCACTTAAATGCATTGAGTGCTTGATTTTTCTGTAGTGGAATTTCATTTGCCTCATTGGTGACCAATCTTCCCACTTTTGCACAGAATGCTCCATCTTTGCTTAGCTCGTTTATTTGATTCAATTCCTTTAAGCTCTCTCTTTTTTATAAGATCCCCCAGACTGCTGCTCTGGTTCTACTTCTCATCTTTCACACACAAGGCACCTGAAAGGAAGTACAGTGCAGGGCTTTTAAAATGCTTTAGGTCAGGAGATCGATGGCAGGAGCTTAACCAAATATGTCCTAATATATAAAACAAAGCCAGATGTTATAGAAGTTCTATTACCTAGCAGTTAATTGAGATGACAATTTTTCACTATTGGCTTCTGTAATATACCAGCTGAATTTATGAAATTTATAGTGAGGAGGTTACATTAAAATGTTGAAGCAAGGAGATCTTGCTACCATTTTCTGGGAGAGGGAAAGGAATAGGTGGAAAGAGTGTGGGGGGATGGAGGCCCTGCGTTTGTCTTGGCACTGTCACTTTCAATCTGACAGAGCTTCTCGGAGTTTGTTTCTTATCTGTAGAATTAGAGTAATACCTGGAAAAGTATGACAATTAAATGAGATTACAGCTGACCCTTAACAAGTGGGTTTAGGGACCCCGACTCCTCTCCCTCCCCTTAGCCCTAGTCGAAAAATCTGCGTATAACTTTTGATTCCCCCAAAACTTAACTGCAGTTCTTCCTCAGGATCCACAGGGGTTTGGTTCCAGGACCCCCACCCCCTCCTGCCCACCTTGTAGCTACCAAAATCTGTGGATCGAAAATACTGTTTTTGATCTGCAGTTGGTTTAATCTGTGGTTGCAAAACATGGGGATATAGAAGGCTGACTGTATGTTTATTGAAAAAAAATTGTATAAGTGGACCCATGCAGTTCAAACCCGTGTTGTATTGTTCAAGGGTCAACTGTATATCTATAAATAATTATATATTATAAAGTATCTTGCACATATGGAGTGATATAAAGATTGGTTGTCATTTACCATCCTTGAATAAGTTTTCTCTTTTGCATGTAACAGTATTTATTAGGCAATATTTACACAGCTGTTTAACTGCAATGTAAAACTAAGTTTTCGAACTTGTTGGAGCTGGGTAGTAGGACAGAAGGGGAATAGGTGTATTGGAGTGTCTATCATATGCTTTACACGTGCTATTTAATCCTTATAGTACCCACTTAGAGACCATCTTCATTTTGCAGATAAGGGCTGAATCTCAAACTTTCCTGAGGCTATAAGTTTATAACTGACAGGGCTTTGGTTTGGTCAATATTTACCCTCTTTCCCACACTACCGCATGTAAATTTCTGTAAATATTTTCCCCTTTTCTATTTTAAGTGGTGGAAGAAAAACTTTCAATATCAGTAAATAATCATGTGACTGAGAAGTTACCCTTTGCCATTTCAATAGAATAACTATTGACTTGTTGGAAAAGTCGTGACACACTTTTGCAACGAAAAACATAGAAAAAATACGTCATGACTTTTCCGACAACCCAATATTAATAATGTTGTAAATATTTCTTAGGGGGCCAGATGGACCCATGTCCTGTTGGGGAGTCCACTTCATTGTCGATGTAGAGGCCTGACCACTGCATTGTATTTCTGAAGCTGATGTTGAATAATATAGTATGTCAACTATAATTATATATACATGTAGTCTCGGGACATGGAGTAGAGAGCGGGAATGGATTCAATGGAATTGTAATAGATAAGCATGATATCAGGGGTGGGAGGGCAATAGATGGGGGGAGGGGGGTTGTTACTTTGTGAGGGTGAAAAGGGTAACTATTGCATTGTTCTGTACACCTGAAACTAACAACAAAAAAAAGACATATGGTCAAATGGATATAGTAAAAGTTATAGTGTAGTAAAAATAAGGTACATATCAGAAATATAACCCCCTTGTGATTTTCTCATTATTCTAATCCAAATAGGACCAGGGCTTAGGAACTTCAACAGCTATTTAGCCAAAGGACAGAAATATTTATAATTTGGACAGTATTAAACAGAAAGGGCCCTGGTATTTTTATTTTTGACTGCCATCTACAGCTGGGTTACATATGGTGATCTTTCTAGACTCCAGATGAGACACAGGTTGGACAGTGTGAATATACTTATGGATAAATACAACAGGATATTTGACAGCAGGGTAGTTCGGTGTGATAATTACTCAACCCAATTTTAAATAACATGCTTTCCTTTTGCGTATTTTGAAGCTGAATTTTGCACACTGGATCCTTCTGACTCTAAGAGAAAAGGGAACACAGTACCAGCAAAAGGTCTTTTTCCTATTTTGTGTCACGTAACATCCATGGCGTGTTGTCAGGTAGGTGTGTAACTTATGGGTTGTTATAGTATATGGTGAAATGTTAGAAGTGAACCCTTAAATTCTCCTACCATTTATAACGCTGACATTTGCAAATGGTGTACTCAAAGTTTTGTAGAAGTAAACTAACTGGTGGCACAGTGTTATAGTGTTATGTATTTGGAAAAAGAGACCTCAGATTAATTTTTTTTTTAAGACTTACTAGTTTAGTTCAAAAATAATTTGTGGAACAAATCTTAGAGTTAGGAAAGATTGCTCTCCTACGTGTTAACTGTTAAGAGACAGACTATCTGGGAAACAGACATATTTGCATTATCAGAAAGACAACTTTTCGCAACGAGGATTTGACTCTTTCGTAGTCTGGATTAGATGCGGAAGTCAACAATTACTGAAATAATACTGCTTTTTTACCATCATTTACACGCACGGCCTTAGCAATCTACTTATTCCTCTTGCTATCCCTCCCTGCCTATTTGACCTCTATGACTGACTACCAGCTTCTAATATTATTTTCAGCCCGTCTTCCATGAGGTCTCCTTTTGATCCGAAACCTATTGACTTGAAATGGAAACTTTTTTTGTAGCTTTCTCTTTGACTTTTGGTTTCAACTTGTGTTCACTCAGGCCTGCTATGTAACTGGTGCTTATTTACACGTACTGTGTTTTCCCTCCCTGACTAAAAGGAACTGAGTTACTGCCTCTGTGGTCACTGAGTGGTCAGGTTATTTTGGGCCACAAAGGGTGGGGCAGGGTTAGGCTCCAGAGTTGCCTGAAATCAGTTTCAGGCTGAAGCTAATCTTTGGTTTTCAAGTCTCATTCATATGCATTGCAAGCTAATTCTCATTAGGATTAGAATTAATGTGTGTGCCCAACGTATAATCTGGTTATTAATTATTTGAAACAACTCTGAAAAAAACACATCAGTGATTTAGGAGGGATAGCATTTCTTGTTCCTCTTGGTTCCACATTTAAAAAGTTACATTGCTTGCATTTTGAATTAAGTGAAAGGGTTGAGAAAGGTCACTTTTTCTTCTTTATATCTCAAAAACAAACCAACATTTAGACTGTAAGTTTCAGATACAGTAATAGTCCTGAAATCACCATGATATAGCTGAAAATAATTCTGCCAGATTAAGGATAGAGAAGAGAGGAAAAACTATGACTATCAGAAAGTAGAAATATTTATCTGAAATAACAGATAATCTTGGGAAGTTACCAGTTATGAGTTTTAAAACCACAGAACTTTGGATATAAGGAAGGAGTGTGCATGGCTAATAGACAAGGTGAAGGAAAGCTATTAATCCAGAAGAGCAAATTGACTTACTCACTGAGCAAACTAAGAGAGGTCTACCACAGCCATTTAATTTAATGCAGCAATTCAAGATTCCCCCTTTCTTAAAGCATTCCAGAATCAGATGGGGGAAGATGGGCTAACATCATCTTTATCAAATCTTTGCAAAGGGTATGCAAATGGCCGGGAAAGCTTTGTATGGTGAATGGGAGATAGATCACAGAACTGAATAATTGATTCGCATAATATTTAGATCTTAAAATTAGGTTAGGTCTTAATCTGCTTCTGGCCAGTGGGCTGTGCAATGCATTTTTGGTTCTTCCATAGTTATCTTCTTGTGTTCCTCTAGAATTTACATATTCTTAATTTGTTTTACAGATCACTGCTTTTCCTTTGGAATAAGCCAATGTGGCAGAGGGAGACCAGCAGGGAATTAATAAATGTTAAGATAGCATGGTTTTAAGGTTTTGGTGCATAACTTCAAGACATTTCACAGAACATACTGCTCTCCAGTCAGGAGAAACCTTCCATTAGGATAATACAGAAGGTGACATTCTTTCAGGAAAAAGTAAGAATCCTAAGTTCCCTCTACCAGGCATCCTCCCTCAGGCACCGAGGCTGCAGCCATCCAATAAATGGGGACAGGCAGAAAGAGGAGACTTCCAAAGTCACAATGCACATCAGTAGCTAATTCTTAGCCAGTCTGGCAATGCGACCTTTCCACTCCCCCCTCTTCTTTGTGATGTATGCAGGAGTGAGTAGCTGCAACAGGGATTCTGGCTGTTGCCTAAAGAAGTGGTGACACAAGGCCTCTGTGTTACAGATCACGTACATCCCACAGTCATAGCTGTTTTGTTGAGCAGGGGCTTTCTCTTCCACAAAAGCCAGTTTGTCTCCTTTTCTGCCTAAGAAAGTCTCCAACTTCTCTGCTACCTGCTTTGCATGCACTGAGTTGCTCCCGCTGTGGGAATCATAATGAAAAAAGCTATTTTTATCTTGGAGATAAACCAGCAAACTCCAATGGGTTCCCCCAGCTGCCTGGTTGGAATTATCATTGATGGCTAAAAATACAACTCTCTTGTCGGGGAGGTTCAGGGGTTCAAGGAACATGGTGATCTCTGCCGGGTTGCTAGTGCACTTGATGAACTGGGTGACTTCAGGGCTGATGAAGCAGACGTCGTCAGAGCAGTCGTGAAACTGACTGTTGGCAAAATATTCAAAGGCAAATCCAATGACATGGTCATTGAGCCAGCCAGGGGGGTCCAAGAGTGACACGTCTGACTGCCGCAGTAGGCTGTCCATGTAACTCAGGACGACCGGGTCCATCTTGTCCTGGCCAGGCTCTCAGAAATCCCAGGAACTGGAAGAGAGGCAGAGACAGTATTTACTGCTGAACAAGATACCTGGCTTTGGTAAAGATTAAATATAATGTAAATCGTTTAGCAGCAATGTCTGACTAAGAGTAAGCATTCAGGAAAGTCTAGTCTAAATGCTTTACGTTAACAATTAGTTAGAATGAACACTTTGGAAATTTTCCATGCTGAAATAGTTAGCACAGATTTTTAATTTCCTCTTTAAACGCAGGGATTGGTTAAAAGTATAACTAATGTTTCACCAAACTCCAAGGCATTAACCATACATTTGGCCCTTTGATGAATATGCATGATAACAATGGCAAATTATTTTTATATTAAAGATGACTTTTCAGAGTCTACAGAAAAATGTTACTAATTACCAAGGGAAATAGTTTTCATTTCAACATTAATTTTCAAGAGATAAGATAAAATATTGCTTCCTCATTCCATAATGAAAAGGGACAGTGATTCGAGTTGTAGTTAAAAGGAATTGCAACTTCAAGAATAGAAAAATCATGAGAGCAATACAGATGAAATTCATTCCTGATTCTGCCCAGCCAGGAGCATGAGTGATGTAACTAACATGTCTTTGCCCATTTCCCATCTTTCACCTCCAGGGGTAAGATGATGACTATGTAATGTTTACAGTGTAAGTCAGGACTTCCTTTAGTGTTTATAGGTAGCAATGGGGAATCAGGAGACCTGGGTCAAGCCCGGGTTCTACCCTGATTTGTTGGTATCCTCTTGAGCAAGTCATTTACGTGATTTTGTCCTCGTTTTGTTATCTGTAACAATGGCATATGTATCTGTTTTACATGCTTCAGAGAGTTTGTGGGAAAGACCAAATAACTTTACTTGAAGGTATTGAAAGAGTATAAAATGTTGTAAAAATAATATTTGTGTTAAATGGATTTTATTAGTAAGATGATCAAACAATCTACATAGAACTCTAAGCCAATGAAAGCAAATGAAGTTTGGAAACAAATATCGAATTCATATTATTTTGACCAAACAAAAGCCTGACTAACTTAGAGTAGGAGCAAGACAAGCCCTAAGATGAGATTAATATGCTCACGATCATCTGCGGTGAGGTGCTAACAAAGACACTAATTCTGATTAAGTGTGTTAAGGTAACATAATATTTGAGCCCAATAGACAGACTTGGCAGCATAACTATTTCTAAAAATCACAACGCAACAAACTATCACATGCAGATTGAGACTGCAAAGCAAAGCACATTGTAAGAAAATGATAACACTGCTGTGAAAGACTGGGCTAGAATTATGACATCAATTTAATCAATTCTGGCCATTAAGCCAGGTATTTTACCAGTTGGTTACGCTATTAAACAATTACATTTTGTGGCACCACTTTCATGTATCCAAAACCCTGCAGGGCTGGCTGAGTGGCGCATTGGTTGAGAGTTGGCTTGGGGCACTGTCTCTGAGCAGTGGGGCCCTGGTTCGGATCCGACATGTGGGCCAGTGGCGCTGCGCCCTCTGCAGCTGGGATGGTGAATGGCAGCTTGATCTGGGGCTGGGCTGCTGTGGGCTGTAGCCCCTGCTGCAGTAGGCTGCCATGGGCTACCGTGTGTGGCTGGCAGCTGGTGTGAGCTGCCAAGAGCTACTGTGGGTGGCCATCCAGTGGCCAGCGACCTGTCTGCCTCACCCAGGAAGAGTGCAATGATGGTACCAACATGGGCCAGTGGGGCGATGTCCTCCACAGCTGGACTGAGGAGCAAGGGGACAGCAACTTGTCTGTTCCCCTTCCCTGATCTCTACACTGTTCCCCTTCCCCAATTTCCCAATAAAATCTTTTAAAAACCCAAAAAAACAAAAAAAAACCCTATAAAAACTTATATGTAAAAAAATAAATATACCCCTCAAAGGAAAAAAGCTTAAGTAAATGAGGTAACTAAGAAGAAACAAACATTTTATGTGCTACAACATGAACTATTGGGTTGTTGGAAAAATCATGACGTATTTTTTCTATGTTTTTCATTGCAAAAATGTGTCATGACTTTTCTGACAACCCAATATTTCAGACACAATATACGGCTGTCTATGAGTGTGTCTGTCTATCATCTTTCTTTCTTTCTTTATATAAAATAAGATGGCATGAATAAAGATTTTCTTAAGAAGAAACAATAACTTGAGCAGAGAGATATAAACTGGAGCCAGGAACAAAGTTAACGAGGCATAGAGCACATTTGTTATGGGTAGGCCACACACATTTGGCTCTAAGCTGTTTGGCAGCTAACCAGAGGGCATTAAGTTAAACATTCACAATGTCCATAAGGTAAAAACAATTTTTCAGGAGAGGTGAAAACTTTCTTTGTATTGTATTAGTCAGACAGCTTTCTCTCAATAAATTTTCATTAAAGATGCGGTGTATCATAATGTCTCACAATGCCCTTATAATAGATTAAATAGTTTCAGAAGATTGTTTCTTCTAATGATGCTTAATATCTAGCCTGATGGCCAACGAGCAAACAGCAGTCCGTAAAAGCAAGATTGTGGAGGCTGATCTGACTTGGTTTCAGAGGATACGAATATGGAAAGGGAGTGTGACTGCTTGGGTATCAAGCAAGGCTCCCTCAGTCACTCCCCGTGCCCTCCACGGGCACTACGCAGTGCTGAGTGCCAGATTGTATGGCCTGGCAAATCCCTGAAAACCTGTTCCCTCGCTGCCAGCTGAAATCAGATCCACATCTTAACAGCCAGCCCAATGAGGGATAGGAGCCCACAAGAAGAGTGCCCAAAGAGACGGGCATCTCACCTGGGAGGGAGGATCCACAGGCAGGGCCAAGATTCTGTTCAGAAAGAGTTTTTGCATTTTGTCGGTTTCATTTTGAAAACATCCAACACACAGACAATGGGTCCGTTGAGGACCTAATTCTATTCCCTACGGCATGACTATAATAGTTCAACCCCAATTCTAAAGCAAATGGAACCAAATTAGCCAGGAAAAATAACTCTGAATTTCAAATGTGAAGACTTGAATTTTAGACTCAGTTCTGTTACTCATACAGTTCTGTGATCATAAATAAACTACTTAATTTCTTTAAACCTTAGTTTCCTCTCCTGTAAAGTGAGGCTATTAGTTCTGACCTTCATCACTGATTATTTGTCAAGGTAAAATGAAGAATCATAGGTAACTAAAATTTAAAAAATATATAACATAAAGTAGTATTTCAGATATCTATTGTGTCATCAAGAAATTTATATCTCAGTAATTGGTAACTGTAATGTATTTAACACGTTTATTGGGTAGTTCCTATGTGGTAGGAGCTGGAAAATCAGAATGAGAATTAAGTAGTCTTAGCTCCCACCCTTATTGAGCTTAAATTAAGCCTATTATGTTATAATGAACACATAATGAATATATATACTTCTTTTAGTCAATTAACACCTACTGAGTGCCTAATGTTAGGTACTGTGGGAGTTACAAAGATGTATAGGTGGCTTACACTCAATGAGAAGAAACCCATAAGGCACAAATAATGGGATTTTGGAAGAGGGAACAATCATTCCTGGCTAAGAGGGTTAAAGGGAAGGAGAGCTCAGATCAAGAAAGACTTCAAGGGGAAAGTGGCACAAAAGTGGGCTCTTGAAAGGCAGCTAGAGCTGCAGGCATTGAGAAGGGCATTAAGAAGGCAGAGAGGTGCCTTTAATTGTGTAGCCCAGTCTGGCTGGAATGAAGTGAGAGTAGGAGTGAAGGTGAAGGTTAGAGGAAGATTACTAGAAGCTAAGTGGTGACAGACTGAATTCCAGGTGGAAGAATTTGGAATTTACACTGGAGGAAAAGGGGGAGCCATTAACGCCTAGATGAGTGCCTTAGGAAAATTCATATTCAGCCACAGCATATAGAATTAATTGGTAGAGAGACAAATTTGAGGTAGAGATCAATTAGATTTTTATTGCAAGTAAAGGTAGGAGGACATGACCTAAACAAGGGGAAATGGTAGTAGGAATGGAGAAGCAAGGAAGAAAACATATTGTAGACAGAGAATCAATATGTGATCAGAGGAGGGTGGATAAGAGAGAAAAAAGAATTAAGAAATAATCTGGGGGTTTTAGTTGTGGAGACTGGGAGGATGATGATCCCCTTATTAATGGGGTAGGGGAAAAGCAGATGGAAGGGGATCTAGCAAAAGAACCAAGAGCCATCTAGAAACATCCTAGGAATATTTTCTTTTTATAAAGTGAGCACTGTGCTTGGCATATCTGAGGTAAAATAAATGTTTGCCAGATGAATGAGACATTTTAAAAAGGGAGTCAGAAAATACAGATTAGGGAGGAAAAAAAGAGAAATAAGGCCTCTGAAGACTTTTGTATTGTCTGTAACATCCCCATCTTTACTTTGGTTTTGTGTTTTGTCTGTTTCACTCTGTTCATTAATTTTGGGTTGTCGGAAAAGTCATGACGCATTTTTGCAATGAAAAACATAGAAAAAAATACGTCATGACTTTTCCGACAACCTAATAGTAAATTCCTTCAGAATTGCAAGACCTATGTACTTGGTTTCGTGGATGGTAAAGAATATTGGGGAGTGAACTGGGAAGACAATGACCTCCTCAGAGTTTTTTTGGTAAAATCCTACAAAATATATTATAGTTCTATGTTTTGGGGCAGGGCGGTTTTGGGTCTAGGCTCTGACTTTGCCACTTGCTATCTATGTGACCCTGGGCAAGTTATTCATTCTCTTTTGGGGCCTCATTTTCCTCATCTGTAAAATGAGGCACTAACAAGACCTGCCTCAAAGGGTTGTTACACGAATGAAAAGCATGAGTGAAAACACTCCGCACAGTGTCTGGTATATAGCGGGCTCTCAGATTCCTTCCCTGTTCCCTATATTTGGGGTGGTGATAATGGATCTTAAAGAGTTCTTGAAAATAAAGCATTTGTTTGTTTCTTTACATAAAGCCACAAAGTCATAAGGGATAGAGCTGACCAGGACCCAGCTCCATGCTCTTGAGCTCAACCTTTGGCCTAAGAAGAGTGAA